AAAAAGATAGGACTTGAGGATCAAGGCCTCACCGTCGCCATTAGTTGACGTCACATGTCACCTAATTTTTCTTTTTCTTTTCCCCAATGTATATCACATTAATCACACATATGCAATATTAGTGGGACATGAGTGTGATGGCTGTATAAACACGGTAATCTATCTCAGAAACGTCGAAATAGAAGACAATCGTACTTATATATTTTGCAGTCGAATCCAGAGATCCTCGAAGTTGCTTATTAGACTCGGACACGCACTCTGATAGTATATCACGCATTGACAACGACGGAGCTCTGCAGAAAGCTGTCTCATCACGAAAACTTCTTACTAGTTTTCTTACTGCAACAGACATGTTTGATCAGACGCAAGCATTGACAGTAGCAGGAAAGCTCTGAGCGACGTTTTCATCCGGAATTTTTCTACTAATTCAGAACTCTCACCTGCTTGAACTTGCAGGTTTTTTTTTGAATTTTTTTCATTAACAATCGCATTTTGTTAGTTCTTATTAGTTTTTCTCCCTGATGTTGAAGAATTTGATATAACCATTAATTATTGAAGAGTATGTTGTGATTTTAGGTGTTTTATGTATAAAATGACAAAGTGGGATCTTATTTGATATTCTTATCATGGATATAGTGACTTTAATGAGTTGATATTCTTGTGACGTTTTTGGGTGCAGAAGAACAAAGGTAGCCATGTTGGGAAATGGGGTGGTGGGGATTTTATCAGAATCAACCAACAAGTGGGAAAGAAGGGTGCCTCTCACGCCATCCCACTGTGCAAAACTGTTGCATGGAGGTAGAGGCAAAACAGGGGTGGCCCGGATCATTGTTCAGCCTTCTACAAAGCGCATTCATCATGATTCTCTTTATGAGGATGTGGGCTGTGAAATTTCTGAGGATTTGTCGGACTGTGGCCTTATTTTGGGCATTAAACAACCCAAGGTGCCAACTTTTTCTGCAATTTGGATTCTGGGATATTCATTGATAATCAGACGGTCATATCATTTTATTTTTTTTTTTTTGGGTGGCAGCTGGACATGATACTTCCTGACAGGGCTTATGCCTTTTTTTCACATACTCACAAGGCACAAAGGGAAAATATGCCCTTGCTTGACAAGGTAGAGTGGACTCAAAGGTTTTTTTTTGGCACTTGATCTAGACTTGGATAGTTTTGGCATTGTTCTGACATAATTCGTTATGTTTAGATTCTAGCTGAGAAGGCTTCGTTGTTTGATTATGAGCTTATTGTTGGAGACCATGGAAAGAGATTACTAGCATTCGGAAAGTTTGCTGGTAGAGCTGGAATGGTTGACTTTTTACATGGATTAGGACAGAGTATGCACCTGTTCTTTCAATCCGAGTTACTTCCACTTCTTACTTACTCTTTATGTAATGCTATGTAGTTTGACATAGCAGAGCTAACCTAAAACCAGAATCTCCTTCAAATGCTATTTATCAGTAATTTATTTAATTTCTCTTCTTAATGCAGGGTATCTTAGTCTTGGGTATTCAACTCCTTTCCTGTCTCTGGGAGCATCTTATATGTATTCTTCATTAGCTGCTGCTAAGGCTGCAGTAATTTCAGTTGGGGAAGAGATTGCCACCATGGGACTTCCATCTGGAATCTGTCCTTTAGTTTTTGTTTTTACTGGTTCAGGAAATGGTACTCTAAATCTGCCATGTCCCCATTGTTTTTCTGTGTTATAATGAAAAGATTGTGATATGATTATGCTCCATGTCGGCATATGCTATACTTTGTTTTTCTATTTTGATATCATTATTTCTGAATGCATTTGTGTAATTTCTTGCTTGTTCTGTGTTGTTTATCTTCTATGCTATATGCTAATACCATTTGATTTCTCTATTGATCTTCTTATGTTTTTGATATTTTCTGTAGTTTCACATGGAGCACAAGAGATCTTTAAACTTCTGCCTCACACTCCCATGGATCCTTGCAGACTTCCTGAAATATTTGGGAAGGTAGTCACAGACTTTTTCGTCAAGACAGTACAATTTACTTCCATGGACTTCATTTGTCCTTCAATGTCTTCAGGCGTTATTGCATTTCTCTGGCTGTTGTAAATTAACTTTTGCTGATGAATTGCATGCTTTTATGTTGAAGTAGAAAGAAGAACCACATCCAACCCAAACTTGCTTGAATGCGTTGGCTGGCCACCTCTGTGGGTTTTCAACTTTAAAACAACATTATCATACCTATAGCAATTTTTGAAAAGTTGAATAAGTGGCTTCTAGAAATGATTACTGCATTTTTGGCTGATGCTTAAGTTGATTTTGGAATTCTCTATTTTAAGTTGGTTTCTTTGGTAAAATTGTTTGAGATGATACACAAAACCAAGTTTGCTACCAAGCAATGATTTGGCTATTAGTTATCCAACCCATGTAATTGGTCAAGTTGATGATCAAGTATAGAATTATTTTCATGCAAAGTAGACTTGTTCGCAAATACAAATTTTATGAGATGTTGAGATTTTTTTTTGTGTCTCTTTCTTTGCTTGTCTCTGAAATGGACTGTTTTCATTTAATGACCAATTCTTTACTTTAAATGATATCCTTATTTATTTTCATCCCTCGTTCATCTTTGAGCCTACTATGTTCGTTCTTACAAAAATGTGTCTACTGCATACAGGCTAAAGATCCTGCACGTCCAGCAAAGAGAGTCTTTCAAGTTTATGGCTGTGTTGTAACCTCTAAGGACATGGTGGAACCTGAAGAACCTTCGAAATTTTTTGATAAGGTACACAATAATAGCTCTTTTATTTAGGTTCTGACTCTTCAATTGAACTTTTTGGATGCATGAGAATGCAGTTTTCTTGGTTAGTCTTTTAGGTTTCAGGAAAGCAACTTCTATATTGTGAACTATATGTTCAATGGCAAACCTAAATGTTAATGTTCACATGGTACCATCCTGGAAATGTCTTCCAAAGCAGTCCAAGGTGCACATGCCAAGTTTGTGTCAGGACTTCTTGAGTACAGTCTGTGACAGGCGTACATCTTTTAGTAAATGAGAGTTTGAGCCAAAATTAAGCACATCCTCCCAATTCTTGTGTCAATGATTCTTCATAGTCATTTGTGGGCCCATAGTCCAACAGTTACTTATGTTTCCACTTTCCAACCTTGAAAAAGGAGCTAATAGCATTATTACAGTCTTCTGCCTATTGCTTGGGAACTATAGATGCCTCTGTATACTGCATATAATGAGAGAGAACTAGTAGTTGCATTGTTATTATCCTCTTGCTTTGGAGCTGGATGACGTACTTAAGCTCACTTTTATCAACCAATTCTGCCAGTGTGTGATTTTACCTGCTTGATCAGCATGGTCTTAAATTAAGAGTTTTGACAAACATCTGCTTTTCATGTAATTCTTTATGAAGATAAACTGAGTAAACATATCATAGAATAATTAAATATCCATGCATCATTTTATTAGTTCATTGATGTCTGATTCATAATGAAAAATTTGCCGTGTAGTTTTGCTACCTGAGCTAGGTTCTTTGCTTTGCAGAATTGTAATAGTTTCCTGCTGAATGCTAAATGTAGAAGAGATGAAAATATCTTGTGAACCTTAGATCTACTTTGTAGGAACTTTTGTTTCTGAACTTCTCTTAAGGAGTTCAGCTGCAGGTTTAGCATTCATGTCTATACCAGTTTTCAAGATAACTCGTGCAATTTCTGCTGATGATGAAGCTATGATTCTTTCAGGCTGACTATTACGCACATCCAGAGCACTACATTCCTGTTTTCCATGAAAAGATTGCCCCTTATGCATCTGTGATAGGTTTGTTTTCTTCATCGTCAATTTCAGTAATGAGTTATGGTATCACCAAGGTAGGAAATTATATCACAAAATTCACCAGATATAAATGAATGCCATGTTTATCAATTCAATCATACAAGAACCTTTCTCCAGATATAAAGAAACCAAAAAGCAGCTTGGCCGATGGAAGAATAACAGAAATTTGGACAACCACAACATTTATTGTAATACTTAATTTGAAGAGTATTAGGCATACCTGTTCGTATTAGTAACGGTTTTCTTGGGGTTGATATCAAAGAAACCTCAGGTATGTAATGCTGAATTCCAAGCCCAAACTCATATCTGGTGAATTTTTAAGTAATTCAGTGTTGAACAGGCTTAAACTTACATGACTAGGCCATAAAATCTTCAAACAGTTCAAAATCATTGTGCACTGAATTTGTTTATTTTTAAATGTTTAGCTCAAATTGTTTCTTTTCATGCATTGTCCCACTTGCAGTTAACTGTATGTATTGGGAGAAAAGATTTCCTCAGCTATTGACGACCAAGCAGCTGCAAGATCTGATGAGTAAAGACTGTCCACTCGTTGGAGTTTGTGACATTACATGTGACATAGGTGGCTCATTGGAGATTGTTAACCAAACCACATCAATTGATTCTCCTTTCTTTAGGTACGCCTTGGTGGTTTTCACTACATCATTGTTGAATTATATTTTCCTTCTATTCTACAGGACAATTTGGTGCGAAACCCTTCAAATTAACTGAATTTGACTAGACAATCATTAAATCTCTCTACCAGGATAACATGGTTGTGGTTGTAATACTCTAGATGAAATGGTTGGAAAAAATACTTAAATTAGTCATATTATAAATAGCCATACTTCTCTACCCTAACAGGGTAGACTCGTAGTCATCTAACCATAAATTCTTATTGCATGAAATTGCTGCCCTGGGGAGTTGTCTGTTGGCAAAAAAACTAACAATGCATTTATTTAATCTTTGGTTAGATCTTCATATGAACTATGTTTTTCTTGACATGTTTAGGATGCTAGATACTCTCCATTGCACATTCGAGGTTTAGGCATCCAGTTGTTGCCTTCAAATCCTAATAATGTTTCCATATGTTTTCTTTTTCTTTTTTTTCCCTGAAGCATTTCTTTTCTTTTTCTGTGCCATTACTTTCGACAATGATTGGTTCTAGATATGATCCTTTCCAAGATTCGTACCATTATGATCTTGATGGTGAGGGAGTGATCTGCTCTGCTGTTGACATTCTTCCAACCGAGTTTGCAAAAGAGGTTATTGTTATGCTTTATCTAACATCATCTTCTCATCTTCTTTGACATAAATATGCTATGGTTGTCATGTCTTATTAACTTTATCTCCTCCATTAATCACAAATAAAGGCTTCCCAGCATTTTGGAGATATTTTATCCCAGTTTATTGGAAGCTTAATCTCTATACCAAATATTGAGGAGTTACCTCTGCACTTAAAGAGAGCTTGCATAGCGCATCGTGGAGCACTGACTCCACTTTATGAATATATACGGCGGATGCAAAACTCTGATGTTGAGTAAGTAGCTCACGTAATCTTGCTTCTCCTTCTGTCTGTTATATTTATTCTCACTTCAAGATTTAAAATACTTGTCAATTACAATTTCATGCACAGCAATTGCAACTTAGATGCTCTAGTTTAATGATTAGCTTCTAAAATCTTCATTCCTAGAACTCAACAAGTATTGAGCAATCCCACAATTATTTCGTAATTCATATCAAGTTCTCAATGTAAATCCATACTCTGAAAAGTGAAAACATCACATTAATATGATACATCTAGGTTTGTACCCCTATAAGTCTATAGGTATCAAGTCAACTTCTAAGAAGTCATTGAATTGAAAACCATCATGTTTATGCTTAGTTTTGAACATGTAGAAGTTTAGCTTGAAAGAAAATATTATTAGGGCTTGTGGATTCATGCTTTCAAGGACCCTCTAATTTATGCTACTTTCTTTTGGAGTATTTTATTAATTTCATCTTATAATTGCTTTATTCGAGCCATTGAGAAATCGAGATATTATTTCTACTTCTGTGTACTGATTTAGGCTTCTTTGTTGTGAACTTTGTACAAGTTAGATCTTGTATGAAATTCTTACTTCCAACATGATGCCAAACGATTCACGTAATGTGTTTTTATGCAGAGATCCTTCTAGAAATCTTGAAAAAGTCTACCCTGATAAGAAGAAGTATACTACATTGGTATGTTTCTTCGGTAGACCACCTCTGCTACTCCGTTATAGTACACTCCATTTGGCATTCTCAGCCAAAGGAAATGCATGCCCAGAACTATGATAGCAGCAGATGATCAAAGCATAACACACAGAATACAGGAAAATTGACAAGGTTTTTACAAAACCAAAGGTTAAAAATTTTATCCCAGCTTCATAATTGAAGCGCCATTCAACTTCCGGAGAAAATAAATTAACCTCTCCAAACCACCACCACCACACCCCCCCCCCCCAAAAAAAAAACCTCCTTCCAAACACCAAAAAACCACAACCAAATATGGAAACGGGAGAAAGAAAGAGAAGCAACATTGCTTCTGAAAAGAAAAGTAGCCATTAGGATATTTTCCATAGTTTCACCAAAAGGTCAGCATCTATCTTCACATACATTCAGTGGGTGAGGTCAAACATACTGGCAGTCTTGTCAATGTATTCTAATTCAGATCACTAAAGGTACATAGTTTCTTCATTTTCTTGTCTCTTTGCAACAGAAAAGTTTGTAGGTCACATGATCTCTTTATTTGATTTGATTATCTTCAAACATGAGTTAAACAAAATAGACTTCTGTATGATTCCAATCCAACTCAGTTTTAGACAGCAGAAAAAGCCTGTAACTTTTAGAGGACTCTTTCCAAAATGAACATATCATTTAGCTAGGGTTTCATGAAGTTGAAGGATTCTCCCAATGTATATTTATAGTATCAGAAGCAGAAATTAAGAAGTCTAGTAGTCCCCAGTTTTGATCAAATATTAATTTCACCAAAACCACAATAAAACACAAACCTTATCATCATTGGATTGCACATTGGTAATTGTGTGAGAACGAAGGTTGGAGCAAAGAGAATCTAGATAAGCTCTCAATACTGATAGGAAACTCTTTGCAGCATCAACCTAACAGAAAATTAAACAGATATAAACAGAAAGAGAATTAGGCTCTGATTACTGATAGGATTCCTTTTGCTTCTCTGCAATAGAATACTGTACAAATACAAAATGGAACCAGCATAAGAAACATTACTAACAACTGTTTACCCAAAAAAAAATGTTCTTCATAAAAGTGGACAACGAGCATGTGTTAATTGGTTGGGGGAAAAAATCAAAATGATTTCTTAACATATCTATCTCCATCATACAAAGTACCAATGGCTGGAAGCCATAAGCAAAGAAGCCCATATGCATACAACCAGAAGGTTGTGAATGTACGAGGAACTAAAATCTGTGCATATTGCACAACAAATCATACACTCTTTCTCGATGACATTGGGACAAGGTAAATCAGGATAAATCCCCAGACTTCGTCTAATCAAGTGCTGATTGGAAAGAATAATCATAATGATTGGAGAGACCATTTGTGTGATCTTTGCCATAGTAGCAAAGCAAGGAGTAATTGTCATAAGAACAGGAAAATGAACGAAGGTGTTTAGGCTTCAAACGAGCATATGCATGTATCTTTGCCATTGAAACAGCCACTAAGATTTTCTGCTTCTATCTGACAATTATGTTTTAGTTTAGAACCATTAAGTATCAACCATAAAGACCAGCCACTATAGAACAACACATGAATTGACAAAGATGGAAAGTATTTCCACTGATGTTCTACATGATAGTGAAGAAAAGGGTGCAGGAGATCATTCAGATGAAAAATAATTGAATAAAAGATAAAGATACACATACCTGTGCATCTGTACATTCATAAATAGGCCTCTTCCTTCCCAAATAACTTTCTCCAACAAGTTTTGCATGATAAGGACTTAAGGATGAATACAATTCCCTATATTGGGGTAGTGTTGGCATTGTTGGTGACTTCACCTGTTCCCACAATTTGCCAGAATGAGATCAGACAACATATTACACAAATCATCTATGCATAGAGCAAGCCACAACGATACAGATGCAAATTCTTAAGACAAGGGAGTTTACTGCATCTAATACTTCACCAAGATATACTAAATTTATCACTCTATCCACTTATCTGTCTCTCATAACACAACATTCAGGGAGATTTTGCAATGACCAAGCCCATGGCCCCAATTGGCGACCATGTGGTTCGACAAGAGCCACTTGGATTAATTGATGCAAGCTGATCTAAGCAAGTGATTTAATAGAAACCACGTGGCTCTTGTTTAAACCACACAGCCCACAGGTGGGGCTATGGAAAGGGTCCACACAAGAATTTCCCCGACAATCATAAAGCATTATGTGAATAATCCTCCCTTAAATTCATCCACAGTATCACTCATTGAGACACTTCCATTTTCCACTGCAGTCCTCTGAAGTTATAATGGAGACTGAAGCCCTTACTTTGGCTTCAACTTTTTCCCGTTTCTCATTTCTTTATCAGCTACATCAAGGCTTATCCGACTATTTATTTGAAAAAAAAAAAAGGATCAACAAAAAACTACAAATAAATAAACAAATCACCAAACAAAAGAAAATTTCCCTCTATAACACATAAGAGGAGGGTTAATTGTTCCAAAGTTTTTGCCCGAGTGGAATTTTCTTGCACCAGATAAACCCCAAAAGGACAACTGAAAGGAAAGAGAAATGGGTGTAACTGTAGCCTTTTTAAGAAACTATTCCACATCTAATTCTGCAAGAAAAATACCTGGTTTTTGTTCATATCAACAAGAATGACGTTTGTCAACTTCGATTGTACCTCAGTGGTTTTGTTCTTCACACCCACCTATTAAAATTACCGTCAATATTCAGAATGGCAGTAATTAGCAGCTATAACAACTTGTCTAATAAAAAGGCCACACTCTATGACCTTGATAGGATCAAATACATAGATGTGATCCTGATCAGGTTGTGGATTTTAAAGAAGGAATAGCTGGGGGCTATTGCTATCCATCATAGTTGGTTTACGATGACATTTGCTGACAGAAAAAACACGTACAGGTGTGCCTTATATAATCAAAACATAAATATGGATATATGTATAAATGGGAGATGCAATTTTCACATTCCAACGTTGTGTAGGCAACTTTTTACTCTAGTTATAACATGCCAGACAACTATTGACTGCTACACATAAGTCGTAAGAAATAAAATCAAGAATCTATTCCTCAAGTCCCATTCACACATGCTACGGAAACCTGTTGCCGAAATACAAATAATTAGAACGCCTACAGCATGTTATGCAGGCACTATCTGAACAGGCTTACTGTTGATAAAAGTACGATCCCATATATACATATACCAAATCAAAGCATACTATTTAAAAGATGTGATGAACAATTCTCCTGCTATGCAACTCAACCTTTAATTGATTCTATAAACATCCGTTCAGCTTTTTGTCAGTATGCTAAAACAAAACAATATTCTGGAGCTAAAATCATCTTGATAATGGTTGGGAGGAAGAGAGTGCAACAAAGCCAGACAAAAAGTTCGAAGGGGCCATGACCATTGAGGGATAACAGGCTTCAAGAGGGCAATGACCCGAAGCCAGACACAAAACCTAGAGGTGAAGGCTGCATAGCTGAAAAACCAGATTGAGGTCACGAGATCATGTCATAGCAAAACCTGAGGGAGTTCGAAATCATTTATCTATATTTTCACAGGCATATAGAAAGCATTTGAAAGAAAGGTTTCACATAGACCTTACATGCCATCATAGTGTCCAAATGCATGTTCCAAAATATTTGTTAATGATTTGGGATCAATAAGCAGAAAAAAGTCGCAATGATATGGTAGAACTCACTATGTAAGGCACAGGTGCATCCAAAAAGTCCAGCATGTCATTTGGCAAAACCTGAAAGGTCAGGCAGTCAGAGACAATGACGAAAATGGCAAATAACTATAAACTCTAACAAGAACAATCAACTACTCATAAATACAAAATCATTGAGGTAAGAAATGACAATTACCGGCATTAGCAAGCTCTGCCACTGATAAGGACGAATAAGGGGTATAATTGATAAAACTGAAGCAGACAATACACCCTGCATATTCAAATAAACAAATGTAAAATCACTAATACCAATGTGGATTCTTTCTCCTTCAAGTGACAAATAGATGGGAAAAAGTTATTCAAAACAAGTAAATATTTGTTATTAATGCATAATCAAATAAGATGAATCATCTCTAAACCACATGTTAAATAAAATTAGAAGAACTAATGGGATTGAAAATATTACATTTCTAGGAGTAGCTAAGTTTTACTCTATTGTGCAATCCCCATCCAAGTTGGACATTGTAAAAGCTAATTACAACACGAACCAGAAAATAGGTGTCTTATGTTTGCTCTCATATTTAAAACACTAAACTTTTAAGTATATTAAAAAAATACAATCTTCTAGCTAATTTTTAAATGATTTCAGTATCAGTCAATTAAAATACAAACTTCAAATACAACCAAACTTAGTCCTATCATATCCCAACTAATTTAGTATGACATCCAAATCTAGACAGCCCAATTTAGAAAATCCAATTACCTCTGAAGCTAAAATAGATTGAGGAATAAACTTTTACAAATTCAAATTTAGGGAGCTAATTGTCAACAATGCAATAGTTGTAAGATATAAATGAAAATTATGCAATTCCAGATCTACATCTCTTTGAACTTGTTAAAACACACTCATTCAACAAAGCCACAAAAATAAATCCAACATTTTTGCAAGCATAAGGAAGTACACCAGTCATAAAGAAAATTTAACAATACTCATACTCCTACAGAAAACATAGATCCATTTCTCTTTTATTGTCATCTGGTGCACAAACACATTGTCCACAAAACTATAAAGATATAATAACTTACCAAATTTGAACAAACAACTGCGACTTGCTTCTCCAAAAGGGCTCCAGCAAATAATGTCAACACCTGTAAAAACATTTCACAGCAATTAGTCCAAATTATCTTTCACTTTGTGTGCAGAGTGCAAGGCTGATATCATAAAAGGCTCCAGCAAGAGGGCAGCAATTTTATTAAGGATCTGCCTACAATGCAGAAGTTAACAGAGACATTTTCAGCATAAAATCAACAACCCAGACCAAAGCTTGACAATTAGTGTTAATTCACAAGTTTATGCACATTAGATATGCACAGAAAGAGCTAATTTGCACGCACTTTTAAACCTAGTAAGGTGGCTGTTGCACACAAACTAGTCATGCCCATCCACAAAACAGGGGGGAGGTAACCTGAAAGGCTATTTAATATTTAGTTTTTATTATTTTAAACAGCACTACGACCTAGATATATGCAATTGTAATCAAGAGGATTCTTTGAATTTGACTTTGAAGTTCACTCTATCTGCCAGGTAAAATTTCAATATTTTGAGGATATCTTTTGTAACTTATCAACTCTAAAGCGTCTTACATAAAATATTCTGAGGGAAAATCAATGCAAGTGACCTTTGGAGCCTGCTGCAAGATGCAAGTGAACATGTACCAGAGAGAACTACTAAACAGACAAAATTTGAAATATAATAGAAAATCTAGTTGCTGCCCCTCAACTTCTTACTCAAGACAACCTTCAACTTCAAATCTAGAACTTCTGGATGGCAAATTATCCAGAGACATTGTACTATATCCTCAATAACTTCAACAGTTATCAAGCTCAGGAAGCAATTTTTCAAGAATTCTAAGACAGATGTGCCACTAAATTCTGGATTCAAGTAATCAGAAGATACGAAATAATCTGCTATTGAGTGATCAAACTAAGTAAAGAACATTTAAAATCTATGCATTTGTTCCCTGTTGACGCCAAGTCCTTGGCCCACATTCAGACAGGTTAATGCTACACCAACTCACATGCTCAAGTCGCAAGGAGCCACATAAGCATGCAACAGCCCATACAGATAAAGCATTTGCTTCCTCCTCTGCCATAAGTGCACAATAAGCCTGTAGAATAAAGTGAAAATAAGCCTCAAGAGAAGCAACATATAAAGCAATGATCAAAATAAACCACACTCCTGTTACCCCAGTTGGTGTGATACCCCAAAAAAGTACAGTAAAATTAAAGAAAAGACAATATCAGCCGTTCTGTTCCTCAGTATCAAGCACAAGTATATAAGAGTAAATATGATGAGACTTCTTTGCATATAGCATTATTATGTCATAGTAGAACCAATTGCAAATTATTTTCATCTATAGAATACGTTAAATATTTCGAGGCATTCCAAATAGCAAGCATATCAGGTAAAATGGGATAAATGTGGAGGTTAATTAAGTTAATTCACAGCAGAGTAACCAACGATCTGCTTTTGCAGTATAGCCAGAAATTATTCATGCAGCATTTAACTTTCTCCACTAACACCTCTTGCTCACATGAAACTGAAAACCCCATAGGCCAGGGGAAAAAAATAAATTGAGAAAATAAAAAGGTGAAGAAAACCAGCAATTAGCAGTTAACAAAAGGCCAAAAAATACCTCTGCTAATTCCAAACTAGTAGTGCATGACTTCAGATCAATTGTTGATCCAGCAATTTGTAGAACAGTTTCATCAATTCTATGATATTCTAAAGGATGTAGGTGATCCAGAGGGTGAAACTTAATAGTCGAACCACGTGAAGGGCAATGTAGCCGATAATATTCGCATATTATTTGTAAAGAACCATGATCATTGGCCTGCAAAAACCCACAGAAAACATTGTCCATCAAAAGAGCCTTATAATATCTTGAAATTTCTTGTTAGAGCTTGCAATTCAAGCTACAAGAAAACAAAATCTTAACCTTAGCCCACTCAAGGATATCATCATGCTCATTGCAAACATCCTGGCCAGAGAAGGATGGCTCTTCCACTTCTACATCATCAACATCACTTCTAAAATGTCTGCCTTCACCCGGAGAGCCCTGGAAACTGAGTAAAGCACATCATTTGTCAAGCTAAATTTCACTTGAAAAGGCCCTGAATAATGCTATCAATCAATCTAAAGCAAAGTTGGCATGCATGACATGCATAAGGGTAGATAGAAAAAGTCCTCGATCTTCAAGACCTATCTACACAACAGGCTGAACATAAGAATGTACTGAGCTTATCTAGAAGATTTAAAACCTTTTTGTCATATATGATAAAGATAAAGGACATGTATCTCTGCCTAAAAATTATAAGAACCTTTTTGTCTTGTCAAACAGGCATGAGTGTATTTAGCTTAGGTTTTCATACAATTCATATCAGAGTTTCCAAGATTATCTTCAAGATTAATTATTTAACAGGAACCCCAGCAAAGTAAGTTTAAAGAGATCTACTGAAAGTCAAAATTATTATACTCGATCAAAATAAAACCCCTGAGATAGAGGTTAAAAAAATGCATTTTGCTCAGAAATTATTTTCAGCGCAAGACGATAAGCAACTAACAAATCGAACAATCTAGACATACTAGTCTTAAAAAAATTTCCGAACTTAAGGAAAATTTAATTAAGGAAATTAAAAACAAACAAGCCTCCACCTCAGTCTACAGCTGAGAATTTGTTCACCATAACCATAGTTGCTAAAGATCCAAGCAACAAGAGACAAAGAGCTAATGACAATCAGCCGATCTTTCAAGCAACCACAGAAAATATTCAACAGAAGAATGTATTCTTAACTATTCCACCCAAAGAACCTCAAAGCCACATAAAAGAGGCAACATCAACAGGATGATGGATTATGAAATGCCAAGAATAGATATGCATACCTAGAGGAAGATTCAGAGCTTTCATACTGTTGATAACGAAGAAGGGGCAACACCGCATTGGGTAAGCGCTTCTCTACAGATTGTTTATTAATTACAAAATCATCAACAGATACATCACAGACTTCAGAAATCTGAGATCCAACTAGAGTTTCTGCTTTAGCATGGCATTTCTCCATATCAGGATCCAATGCAGCAACAGCAGAACCATCACCAGTTCTCTTTGATGTGAAAATGTCCCCCTCTGAAATTTGATGCTCCAAATGACAACTATCATCTGTGACTCTTCCTGGTAGAGAATCACTCAAACTTGACTCTGAAGATTCTGCAGTTCCATTGTGTATACATTGTGCCCTGTCTTCCAATGAAATGCTCCCAGATTCTTCTTCAGAGTTGTCTTCTTTATCACAGCCCACAGGTAACTCCAGCTCTAGATCACCAATATTTCTGGTTAACCGTTCCAACCTTTCTTCGGTGAAAATGCTGTTATCCGAAAAACAAAACATAAAACCCAAGATGAGGCCAAAGCCAAGTGTGTTTATTGCACAATCTTCTCAAGATACAGAAAAAAAATAAGGAAAAAAAAAAGCCAAAACTTCCACCATAAAGAAATGACAGGTTCAATTTTCATGCAGACTAAATCCCCACTATAATGCCTATGAAATTTCCATCACACAGATGGTTGAAGAAGAAAAAAATTACTAGATAATTACATAGAATTACTATCAGTATGGCAAATGCATACAGCACCATCAAATGGGCCATCTTGAGAAGGCATGCAGATATGAGAAGGAATTAAATCCTCTGGTAATGTTTTGCATGATATAATTCTACATCTAACACACTATTTGTCCATAACCATAAGTGAAGTCCAAAAGGTGTTTGATGGAGCCGCTCTGAAGTATGTATCTATGATAAATCTAATTTGCATTCCCATGATCCTACCTAGGCAAACTCTTTTTGCAAAATGGTTGAGACCACCCAAAAAAAAAAGAGGAGTTAAGTTATTTTCCAGGTGGGAAAAGTTTTTAAAAATTTCACACATTACCACACAAAATACGGTAAAGAACCACATGTAGTACCTAATAAGAACATGTCTCTTTGATTCATATGTTATTATACCTGTTCAACACACCAAAGTGCAGCTCGTAAAATGGAAGTCTTGAAAGAATGCAATAACAGCGTTTTGTGGTTAGAATATGGCGGCTCAACCCCAAATGACAAGGCTGCCCGTCTGAAATCATGGAAATCAATCCAGACGGCTTCTGTACTATCTCTTCAACCAAAACACAACAACCATACAGCGTTGAGTCATCAGCCACCTATGCAACAAAAAACTGTTATTACGAGACCAAACAATAAGATAGGAGAAGACAGGAAGAAAACTTCATAGAGATGACGATAAGCATCTCATGAAAACAAATGGAGATGGAAATTGTTAAAATCAATCTCAAAAACAAAGGCTAACCAACATTTACTTCTCCATTTTTGCTTTTAAACAAAATACCAAAAAAGGCAAGAATACAATTCATCATCCAGATAAATCCACCCCTCAAAAAAAATAGAAAAGGCAGGCACTAACACAAAAAGAAAGGAAATTCCAAAATCCATTTCAGCTTTATTCACCACCGTCAGTAAAGCAAGCAGGAAGCATACATTCCTGCCCACAGAATTAGATACTAATCTTGGTATTTAAGTGTCTGCGAAAGATCAAGTTGCATAATTTTTCATGAACATGATAAGTTGCACAATCTGGGAAAAGCTTTTGAAATGGGAATTGAAAGAAGCTACAGACAAAACAACCATTATGGTACTTACAGCTCAACCATTAACATCTGAACAAGACACAGAAAATAGAGATGCAGGCTGTGTCATCCAAATGCATGATTAAATGAGGACATAAAGCAGAAACCTCATCATGTTTTATCAATCAATTATAGAGAAAAAAAAGTCATCTAACATATACAACAATATACAAGGTTATATTCAGTATCTAAGAACAGATTTGATCAGTGGATGCATTCATATTAATTCCAGTTAGCATGTTCCGATGTTCTACATTCAAAATGCCCAAAACATTCAGCTGCATAACATGATCACTGTAAATGCTATGTTTAATGTTGAGGGATCAGAGGCAAGAAAACACAAAACAGTAATTCAAGAGAACAAAAATTGATTGCTAAAATGTAATTAAAATCATCAACAATTGGGAAATCTAACTAAAAAATCCTCCAATACATGTATTAACAAATAAAGTTTGATGGATCAGAGGGCAAGGAAATGTAAAAAAAGTAATACAATAAAAAGAAAAATTGATTGGTAACAAGAAAAACTAAAATATGTCAAAAGTTGAAAATCCTAAGACGAAATCTTCCACAACAATAACAAGCAATTCTTGCACCATTTAGCATCACCCTTTCACTAGTAAGTTTGAAAACAACAAAATCTTTCTCAAGAAATGTAAAAGACTATGAAGGTGCAATCTCTGGAAAACAGGAAAAGAGACTAGTACATTGCTTGATGTACAATGCAGTAAGACAGTAAAGCAGTCATGTACAGCAAAAAAGATATCTTTTAGTTGGCATGACAAAGTAGATACTACTAAGTAACAAGAGGCATGACTTCAGGTAATTTACACACGATGACATCTAATTCCACACAAGGTGCAGGTAAATAAACAATCAGTTTCTCACTCAATGAAAAACTCAAATCCAGCAGAATATTGATAGTAGAAGACCAAACTTCAGTTGATGTGAAACTCAAGCAACACCAATCACAAAGTGAATGCACAACTCGCAGACAGAAAGTGGAGGAAGCAGGGAATAAAAAAGAATTCTTTCTATACCTGCAGTCGGAACACGAAAGACAAGTCACTCTGTTTGAGGTGTTCCTGCGAGGCAAGAAGCAAGTCAATGTCACTAATTGTCAGTGACTTGGCTAAGGTAAACATTACATCATTTGCAACTAACCAGAAAAAAAAAACACGGGACTGTATTTCTTTGACAATTCCAACTATTCGTTTAATTGATAGAGATTGTTAATGAAATATACAGAAACTCGAAAGGTCATATGAACATCCAAATGGCTCCCAATATAATCAGAAAAATAAGGCAAAAAAAAACTGTGGCCTCATGATTGGTAAACTTACTGAAGTTGGTCTAAACACAGAAAACCAAATTCAATGAGTCAAGAACTATTATCTATCTCAGGTTGTTACCCACGTACAAGAACAAAAATAGTGAGAAAGTAACATTACTTGGCCCAGAAGTATCTCATTCAACTCACTCATCGAAGGAGTTCTCTCAATTGCATGAACCTGTAACAAAATGAATCATTTCATGAGTTGATACATAAATCAGAGCAAAAACAATAAACAGGTGGAGCCAATAAATTGCCTAGTTTTGCACTCTCTTCAAAGACCATGCACTCCTATCCTATTTCCTTACAACGCAAAAGCTAAGATTTACCCAGTAGGATTGCAATGATAACCCTGAGGAAAACTGACACGCAGAAAAAGGAATGAAACAAGCAACAGTGAACTCATACAAGTTAACAACTTTACAAACAAATATTTCTACAACAAGTACACGAAGAATCAGATGGACTAGGTTTTACATTCATATGCATCAAACAAATTCTCCAATATATTCAGACAGGATACAAGCTCCCCGACAGTGTTCCAGTTTGCTCTTTTTCAGGGTTAAGTGCCAAAACTAGAAATGATCAGCCAGATTCAGAAGTATATGTCCACATATAAGATTACACACGAAAAAAGTAAATAAAAGACACACAGCTAAAAATTACAACTCACTGTAACTTTCCAATATCAAGGAATGACCCCCAACATAATAGCACTTAAGAAAAAGATTTTAACATTGAACTAGTTGGTAAAGTATAATCAGAGAAAAAGGATAACTTCCAGTAAACCAACCTCAACTCCTGCAGGAAAGCAGAACGAGAGAAGATCCTTGTATTTCAATGGCAGCTGTTTCTCTGGTGGATAAACAAATAAAACCTGAAAGTGAAAAAAGAAGATCAAAACTTATGTCTGATTATCCAAATTTCATGATTGATATATTTTTGAATAGTATACAATATATGCACCTGAGGCTCCAGGTTCGGTTCAATACGAGATTGATTCTGACCATTTAGTGCAGTACGAAATCTTCCTGAACCTTCAGACTTTCTACCAAAGTAAAGCTTCTGAAGAGCTTGAATGTCACAATTAGGATGGAGTCCAACAACTACCATGCTCTCAAAAAGTCTGGATGGCTCTTTCCAAATTTTGTGGTCCTGCAAACTTAAATTACACTATTATCTACGAAAGGCATGACCTTGCTTACTCATATAATACAGACAGAAGAAGCAAGGTAAATTATAAGCAGACTTTCAAGTCCACATCCAGAGCCACTGACTCCAATAAACATAAAGAGGAAAAATATACCAGGGACTGCAACTGAAAGCTTGCCCATTGACGTTTTTGGCTAGTTAGTACTTCAGGGTTGTAAGGTCCACTTTTCACTTCAGGAGGGCTAGACAAGCCTTTCAGTAATCTAGACACTTGATTCTGAAGTTTCTGAAGCTGGCTACTGCTATCGTCCTTCGATGAATATACTACCGAGGGGCGTGGGGATCGTGCAGCAACTGCTGCTGCTGCAGCAGCAGCAACTGCTCTTGCAACATCTTCAGTTGTCTGCATGAAGAACGAAGCACTCCATCCAGGGCTACCTGACTCTTCATTCTTCTCCATTTGGACACTTCGTCCCTCCTACAATTGAAACACAATCAATCAAACATGAATTAACTGAAAACAGTAACACCTCATTGCTAAATGCTCATCCTCCAAATACAAAATGATTACTTGAACATGATATACCACGAACAAAAGCCCTAACTTTGTCCTCCAATCCCCCGCCCAAAAAAAAAAAAAAACTATCATGCTTTACTCTTCAAAGCTGAATTGATTTCAATAACCTCTTCATCTAAGTTAGACATCACCCGGCCATCAAAATAACCAGTTGACTGTGACCATCTTTCACTATTAACCCGTGAAAGTCAAAGATTGAACCCTTATGTTCCTGCCGTTGGAAAAAGGCATAAATTACCACTTCATCAAAACAATGATAAGCTTGCACTAGAAACGCCCTTCTCTCTCTCCCATACAGTTTCATGTCAAGACTCCATTTCCCCTAAATAATCCTCCGATAAGGATCTCATCCCCTTGTTAACATTCTTCTGGACCTCAAACTCATACTAATACTCGCACGTTTAACAGGCTCTCCTTACTGGGATGATTTGGACAAGCTCTTAAATCAACCTGAAGTAATTCCAGTTATGACAAAATATGACCTTGGCATAACAAAAAGAAATATGACATGTTCAGGATTTAAATCGACTACTGGTGATCAGAAAAATCCAACTTCAAAAAGCAAAACTTTAAGACTAAGATACACATGTACTACCAAAATTAAAATCACCAAATTGATTACTCATAAATAGCCGAACCAAGCATGAACAACGTCATTAAACCTTAAGCCACACAAAAGCTTCCAACTTTATGCTTTTAAACCTCGATACCACATCACAACATCATAAAACAAAAGAAAACCACGTATATGCAGGAGAAAGTTTGGAAATGGGGGAAAAACAACCACCTCTGGAAAGAAATGAAAGGAAAGCAGAAACGAGGGGAAAAAGGGAAGAAAAAAAAACCCCACCTATATGCGTAAAAGTTACAACTGATTGGAGAGAGCAGCAGAAATAACAAAAAAAATATCTATATATCGGTCTGAATTTGGGTAGTATACGGAGGAAAAGGTAAATCAGGCAGCCATCTGAGAGAAAGGGAGGAGTGGTGATGTTGTCCTTATTGTCTTTGGAAACTGGAAGGAAAGAAAGAAAGGAACTCACCAAAGACAAAGGAGACTTATCACAGAGAACTCATCGGAGTACTCGGTGATTATGGATGAGTTTCCTGGATTATTACATAACATAGGTGGGATTAGGCGATTGATTAAACTTTGGCTTATTTGGGTTGATTTTAGTATTTGCGTAAAAGAAATGAAAAATCTAATGAGATTTGTAAGGCAAAATTAATTAACATAGGACGTGGGAAATGATAGAAAATGAGAAGAGAATCCATAGTCCATAGGCCTCGTGCAAGTCGACTGATGAAACTGCGTGAGGGACGGCCGCCTCTGTCAAGGGCTGTTTGGCATGTTTCATAATGGAGGATATCTTTTACTTTTCGTATTTTCGCTTATGGAATTTCCTCTTCTTGGGGTAAGTCTTTATTGGAGTTTATGTGTTGCATTTGGAGAATCCGAAATATTAATATCTACATTTGACTTTTTGTTTCATTAGCATAACTGGATTATTGTGGAATATTGAGATGTTAATAATTTGTCAAAAATGTCGCTGCTGTTGTTGTTGTCAACTTTGATTGTTAAGTTATTAAATGATTATATTTATGATGATATAAAAGTCAGAATTTGTTGGCGGACACAAAATTTGGCTAGTTAAACTATAAAATACCATAAAAGAATTGTAACGGATTAAAGTCTTGCCAAAAAAGGCATGAAATTATAACAGGTTATAATCGTGCCAAAAGAAAAAGCGAATAAAAATGTTTTGACTAGTTCAGATAAAAATATCATAAAAAAAATTGTAACGCATCATAGTTTCGCCAAGAAAAAAAACTTAATATTGTTAAATTTAGTCGCATTGGTTCATATTTTACTTTAGGATTGATTAGACACAAAAAGCGCCGGCTATAAAATGAAAATAGTAGATTAATGAGTTTAATTTTTTGAATAGATGACTATTTGACAACTTCATGTAAGCTTCCCTTTTGTTTAGGGATGGAAGTGCGTAGGGTGATATCCTCCGATTTAATGGTTAATCCGATTAATGATCAATGAATCATAAGTTTGAATTTGGTATTGATGAAAGGTTATTGAGGATTAACCTTATATGATTTGGTAAGAAGGCATTAAAATCTTGATACCCGGTAGTTCGATTTGACATCAATATTAGGGATTGATACCTCTATAAAATCTTTTTATTATCTTTAGTCTGTATTTATTTCTCAATATCAATCTTGTAAAGTGTTTTTTGTCATAATTTATGTACAACTTGTTTAGATATGCAGAAAAAGTTACCTGAATTTTCTTTTGCATATTTGTTGAAATTGCTAATAGGTAAGAGCATGAATTGACTAAAAGTCTCAAATGGAGACAATTGTGAATAAAAATAGAAAAAAAGTTGATTTAACCGTTTATAAAATGTTGAAATTGCATGCAAGTTATATGGTTTCGCCCAAGATTAAAACTTAATGTAGTATGTTGATATAACATGATGTATATGTCAATTTATTTTTTTGAACTATTCAGATTGACTGGTTGAGAATAGCCAATAGATAATTCGAACTCGCGAGTAAAAAGGTTTGGTAATGAGAATTAAAACTATAATCTCTACTCGTATTACGGTATCAAACATTCTTATTTTAAAAATTGGAACTTTTCTGATTGCATGATTGAAATTCAAGGATTTCAAATTTTCTTATATATTCCCATAATTCATCAATTTGTTTAAAGCTAGCTACCAGATAAAGCATAGCATGCAGTTATAGCTATAGGTCAGAGCAAAACATAAAATACACTACTATTGCTGACATGTTAGGATTTCAAACTTTTTTATTTACAATATGAAATTCAGAGGATATGTATTAATGCATCATTATTCTCGTCCAAAGGAGATTTTGAGTCTCTCGCTCTCTAGTATTCCCGATCCATTTGGGTTTTTTTTTTTTTTTGTAAAATAGATTAGAATAGAAATAAAATGGACGTTGTCCATTAATAAAGAGAGGAAATGAAATTTATTTGTAGCATACAAAACTTACGTTTGGTTAATTTCCAATGCATGCCAAACATTCCTAATTGTTGCCTAATTGATCATGCGAACGTTAGGTTGGGTAAATGAGTTGTAAAATGTGTTTGACTGGTTTGTTAAAAGGGTACATTAACCGGTTGGATGATGCTTAGCAACAAGGATCCGATGAGTTACTTTATTGAGATTATCATCTCAAATTTTATAATGGGTTTTTTTTAAAAAAAATTTGGGTCTACACGCGAAAATGGCCGTCCTGCTCGTTGCATATCATATTATTAGTAGCACAAACGGCGTGTGGTGCGCCTAACTTTAATGGGAAAGTGCGAGTAAACTTTGCACCCGACTGCTTAGACCGCAATCACCCAGTCACGTGCCCTTTTTATAATTATTTCTAGTTTACGCAGTAGCGCAACACATGCACTTTTTAGGGTAGGTGTCTCCCTATTGAGGCACATGACATGCCATTTGGTTCGTAATCCATGCAAAAAGAATTGCAGGACAAAAACTAGTTCTTATGGTATTAACGGAATTGCAGGACATCGTGCAGTAAAGATTCTAAAGAAAGGATGTAATTATATTCGGTCTAATTGTTTTTAAACTCTGTCAAATGAGCAAATATATAGCTAAGGGGGTTAGAATCTTTGCTAGAATGTTAACACGAAATTTTATTTCTTCATAAATATTGATTTTTTAAGAAGGTTTGCCGATATTAAAGCAATTTACGGTCATCCCAAATCTTTAGATTAGGAGCCTCCATTAGGGGCGTAAATTAATCATGCTACTGGACTCAAATTCGTGAGTATTTTGATCAAAAACATGACTCGAACTCAGCATTGACCGAACTCGAATCGAGTTCCGATTTACTTGACAAGGTAATTGAGTCGAGTATGAGTAGAAAAAAAAAATAAAATTGACTACTCATCGAACCTTATTGAATAGTGTATTTATAATATAATTTTAATTACTTATTACAAAATTATGAAATTTGCTAAAAAAATTGAGTTTGAAAACTCGAAAGGGTTCGATTTGATCGATCTCAAATTTGAGCTCAAGTAATGTAAAATTAGTTCAAAGTCAAGCACGAACATACTTTTACAAAACTCGACGAGCTTAAGTTCATGTATTTTACTCAAGTAGAGTTCGTCGTAGACTAAACGAACTCTACTTGACTGGACATCAGCCCTAGTCTCTATGATTGCAATTATAAGGCAAAATTTAAAACACATTTTATATATTTAAAGAGCTTGTTTATATTGCATTTTTTGAAAGTTTTTAACAGTTTTTTTTTTATAGAAAAATAACATGACACTCTAATATTTTCTTTGACATGAGTACTATGTGCCGATAAAAAGGCAAGAAAAATATGTCAATAAAACATTCTTAATTTAATAGACATCATAAACATTACACTCAAAACAATGCTTTATAACCTCTAAATTCCAAAAGTGTAGTCAAATTTGATAAGAAATTCCTGAAAAATAAAAAAAAAGGAAAGAAAAACATAGGCATGGTCTCTTGGCCTCGGGGTAAAGCCGCTAATTGAGAAGCGACAACTACTGGTTAAGGGTAGGAATAATATTTGTCTTTTAAAACAAAATGTATGTTATTTATTCAATCATGCAAGTCACTTTAAACACAGTATACGCCTTTATGCAGATGTCATACTTAGTATATATCGTATGATCGGAACTACATAAAGTATTTTTTTGAGCCAATCATAGCCGTTAAACCTTCACAAACGGTTGCTATACCATTCCCGTCTCGAGTGCAAGGTAGGAACAATTGCTACAGTAACTAAAAGGTTAAGGACGAATCTTGGGCCAACAAATAATTACAAGGTTCAGCTTATATATTATATATACGTCGTGTTTAGCGTCATGTATTGGATCTATAAAATTTTGAAATATGTTTATATCGTATTATATTATGTTATTCAATTATCATTGAATATAATATGAATTCAAATGTATTATATTTAATATTTAACAATTCAATAATTTAATAAATTCAAATTTCAAACTTCAATTTTATCAAACCCACTCTTCGTTTCTTTTTTTTGTGGTGGGCACAAGCTCAGCGGCTACACCTCGTTGAATTGAGTAACGGTTAACCTGGTAATCGTTTGGATCCCTGGTCCTCCTGCCCCAGATTCGTAACTGTTAACCGGATAGATTAATATAATATAATATAATAAGTGAAGGGAGGAGGGGGTGTCATTTGTCAGGTGGACACGACATGGTCAGTACTTGATTGGTGTCTGGTCATGCGGGCGGAAAGTTGCCCACTACTACTACTGTTTTAGGCTTGTCTTGGCTCGGCCGATGACATTTCTCAATTCTCATGTGGTACTGTTCAATTCCCCACTTCTATCATTCCATGCTAAATGGTATCAACTAGTTGTCCCCAAGACTTTTCTGTACTCGGGACCTAAACAGGGCCCACTAGGTAAGGGTAATCGGTATGAACTATCAAGCGTTGTAGTACGAGGGACATCTCAAGTTGAGATTCTCAACTGCCTCTTCCGTTTGGTTGAGAATCAACTCTTTTTTTTTTTTTTTTGGGATAAAAAAGGATTGATTGGATCAAGTTCTGATCATCATCACGGATCCGAATATGTCTTCGATCACCCTCAAATCTCTTCCATTGATGAGATGTGCATATGTAAATATTGTACTACTTTTTTTAATACATCATATACGAAATAAAAAAGTAGTTAAAAAATGTATTAATGCTACAAATAAATAAAATTTGACAAATAATTCACTATCTAAACAAATAATTACTTATTATT